CCGGAGCTCAGAGCCCTCGGGCCACTGGTGCAGAGTCTCCGCGGGGTCGATTCCAGGCACTGCCGGGGGAGAGGCGGCCTCCGCATGGCCCCTGCTGGTGTGTGCCCCTCTCAGGGGTTGCCCACCTGGCCATCCTTCCAACTCCTAACTCACAGCCACAGTCTGGCCAACTCCGCTTCCTACAGATCCATCAGGTCAACACCCTCCTTCCCCGAAGCCACCACCTTCCATGGTGGTTTCAACTCCTGGATTACAACGGGGTTTTCTCCTGTACGTGCCTCCCTCCCGTACGTCTCCGTCTTCTTTGGAGAACCCTGTTCAGAGCTGCCAAAGCCATGCTTTAAAAACACAGTGTCATCTCTTCTCGTCCTGCCCACCCCCTCGCCCCCTGTCCTCTGAGATTCCTCAGTCTGTCCCACGTTTCCGTGCCTCTGGCTCTATTTCATCCATGAGTTTCTTTTGTTCGTAGGATTTCACATATAAGTGAGATCACGTGGTATTTGTCTGTCTCTGACTGGCTTATTTCACTTGCGTAATAGTCTCCAGGTCCCTCCATGCTGTCTTGAAGGGTAAGAGACTATTCTTTCTTACAGCTGCATAGTACTCCATTGTGTACATGTACCACAGCTTTTTTATCCACTCATCTACTGATGGACACTTGGGCTGTTTCCAGATGTTAGCTACTGTAAATAGCGCTGCTATGAACACAGGGGTGTCTATGTCACCCCCCATGGACATAGACAATATGAAGGCCTGGGGTGGGCTGGGAGCTGGGTGGAGGGGGCTAAAGGAGAAAAAGAGGAGGGACATCTGTCTACTCTCAACAGTAAATAAAAACTAAATGCAATGTCATCAACGGCTCACTTGTCCCTCAGGATGGTGTTTCAACTGCTCTGCATCCCACGGAAAGCATCTTAGAAGTTCCTTTCTCCCCGTTTCTGGGCCCCCTGATACCCTCTTGTTCTTCCGTCCTCGCCTCACAGGTGAGCTGTGTTGGGGGAGACTTTGCGGGTCCTGAGTTTAGACCAACCGCCAGCCCATGGCTCCCACAGCTGTCTGCAGGTGCCTGGGCAGCTCATCACCTTGCCCTGCCCCGTCCCCGCGGGCCGCCTGCTGGGACCTGCCAGCCCTCTGGAGCCGCCTCGCAGGATCTGCGTCTGCACTGATTCCGTGCCTGCCCTCCGTCGTCAGCGTTCTCCAGGACCCGAGCAGCGGCGTCATGGTTCCCAGGGGTGACTCCTTCTTCCTCAGAATGCTCCTAGTCTCTTTCTTCCACATCCGAGATACCCCTGTGTTCCCACAGACGGTTTCGTCACCACAAACCTGTTCTCCAGTCTGTTCCTCTGAGCTGGTTCCCGAGATGCCTCCTCCCTGTTCACATCACCCTCTAAGGGATGTTGTCACTTCTCATATGTTTCGATGCTAACAATGGGCAGTTTATCCCTCTAATCCAAACATCCTTGGGGGCCTGATCCAAGTGCGCTGTTTGCATCTCCATTTGGACGGCATGTGGCATCTCAGATGGGTCAGACTGAGTTCTTGAGTTCCTCTAGATCTGTTCTTCCTGTCCTGTTCCACATCTCCGAAACCCGCCTCCAGTTCACCCAGTTATTCTATGCATACGGTCAGAAGTTTTTCCTTTTCTTTTTCTTTCTTTTAATCCTCGGTTGAGGATATATATTTTTAAATTGATTTTAGGTAGAGAGGAAGGGGGAGAGAGAGTGAAACACAGATGTGAGAGAGAAACATCATTGACTGGTTTCCTCCGGTACATACCCCAGCCAGGGATCAAACCCACAACCTGGTATGTGCCCCGACTGGGAATCGAACCCACGACTCTCTGTGCATGGGCGAACACTCCAAACAACTGAGCCACCCCGGCCAGGGCCCATCTGGATGTCCATCTTTAATCATGCTGACCTAATCTGTCACCAACCCTGATGCTACTACCTTTGAAGTAGGTCCAAAGTCCATGTCTTTCTTGTCATTCAAACTGTCACCGTCCTCGTTCAAGGCAGCATCACCACTTCCCTGGACGGTCACAATACCTTCCCACTGGTCCCCGCACTTTGACTCTGCTCCTCACGGCACCCCGAGTGGGGGTTTTCATCAAGAGCCTTCGTTCTCCTGCTTAAAACCTCTCTGTAGATTCCCACCTACAACTTTGAAAAAATGACTGAGAAACTAAAACCGGGCTTTTCTCTGCACCACGGTGCTCACTGCTGCCTGGATTGCTCCGGCCCCGCCTACCTGCCCCCAGGCTCGCTCTGCTCCGGGCCTGGGTCTCAGTTCCTTGCAAGGAAACACTCTCTTGGATGCCTTGGGGTGTGAATTTATGGGGCTCATTTCCCTTCCTCTTCTCCTTGAGTGTCTTGTCTTTTTACACCTTGTATTTTGGCTAAATGGTTGCTTCTTCAGAGAGGTCTTCCCTAAGACCTTCTATCAAAATGAACCATTCCTCCCAGTCCCATGATTTTTCCTCCTAAAAGAGTTACTTGCTTGTTCACTTTTTAACGCTTCTTTTCATTATTAGTTGTGAGCCCCATAAAGGCATTTACTATATCTATTTATTCTCACAGAGCACGGTTCCTGGCGCACTGTGAATGCACACATGGAAAGAAACCTAGGACAGGGATCCTGAGATATGTTTGCAGAGTCTACACTGTCTAGTTTCCACCCCAGCTTACATCAGATATTAGATGCCAGCGAGGTCCCTTTCCTTAAAATGTTCACTCCGGCCCTGGCCGGTTTGGCTCAGCGGTTAGAGCATCGGCCTGCAGTCTGGAGAGACCCGGGTTCGGTTCCCGCTAAGAGCACGCGTACCTTGGTTGCAGTTTGTCCCCAGCCCTGGTTGGGTCGTGTGGGTGGCAACCACTCGATGTGTCGCTTTCACGTTGATGTTTCTCTCTCTCTCTCTCCCTCTCACTCTATCTGAACAAAATATCGAAAAATGTCCTCGGGTGAGGATAAAAAAAAAAAAAAATGGCCCTGGCCAGTTTGGCTCAGTGGTTGAGCGTCGGCCTGCGGACCAGAGAGTCCCAGGTTCGATTCCCGCTAGGGGCATATACCAAAAAAAAAAATGTTCACTCCGTCTGTCTGTCCGCGTGACAAGCTCCCCTGCATCCCTCAGCATCCTTGTAGGAAGAAGGAGAAAGAGACCCCTTACCCCAGAGAAGATGTCTTGCTTCCGTTTTTGAAATATGTAGTATATTCAACAGTGATAAACGCCCAATTACATCGGGGTCCCCGAGGAGCGGGGCGACTCTGATCTTTCACAGAAGTGCTATAAAATAAGGTGCTTACACAGTTTCTCATGATATCAAGGGATCTTTCGGGTCTTCACGGACAATCACGTGCTCTCGCTCTCTCCTCTTTTGCAGCGTAGATCTCGGGGAGATGGAACAGCCCGAGCCGAGCTCGTGGTCCCACGCTCTCCCACTGGGGTCAAGTTCACGCTCTGTCCGGATGAAGGACGGGTCGATAGAGGGCAAAAGGCCACCGCGGGAGCATCCCTGACGCGCTGATGTCCATAACTAGCTTGAGTGACAAGAAAAATAGTCTTGCTGCCGAAGGGCAAACTGTTCTCGTGGCTGCTCAGACGGCATCGAGGGCACTGCATCCAACCACAGTCACGCCCTGAGGGAGATACCATCAGTCTCCGGAACGTCGTCTCTCCGGGAAGAACATGGTCCATCCAGGAGGTATTCGTTACGGTTCGGGTTTGTTTCCTGAAATTCTCCTTTGAAATGCACGTAGGCAAATACCTAAAGTAAATTCGTAACTGTCCGAGCACAGTCAGGGTGCGTGGAATCCCCCTGAGTTTAATAGCTGACTTTAATTTAGATGTCTATCTATTTGTCTATCTATCTATAGGCTAAGAACTATAGCAATTACACGTGTGTGTGTGTGTGTATGTATATGTATAGGCAGAGAGAAACTAAAATCAAGATTCTTATAGATTAAATAACGTTCCCATAGCTTATACTTCGGTATGACTAAGATTAAAATGAAGGTGAACAAGAAAGTCCCTGAGTCCACCGACAAGTCCAACAAACAACTCAGGTCAGCAAATTCCTTCTCTGGGACACACGTAGGGGTCCTGGCAGGGGAGGACATTTTGGGGATAATCGCTGCCATTGGACCATGTTCCCTGCTCGCCTTCCGTCCGACACTCACGCCCTCGTCACCCTCCTGTCCTCGTAGCAGGCATCACCAGGAGCGTCGCGAGATCACTGTCCTCAGTGGGGTCCCCTGCCCAGGAGCTCACGTCCAGCGCTGACCCTCCCGGGCAGCCCGTGAACCGTGTGTGCCCCCTACTGCCCTCCAGGGGTTTGGAGGGTAAGATGCCACCCGGCGTCTGACAGCAAGCAGGCTCCCGAGGGCTGCGATCTCACACACTGCGGGAGTCTGCAGGGACCCACACCCTCATTTCCTAGCCCTGACGTGGAACATGGAGCCAGGGAAAAGCTGGGCTCGCGTCCTCAGCGGACACCTGTCATCCAAGCTGCAGGTAGGCTCTGCCTTTGCCAGAATGGAATTCCAGCCCCCAGGTGAGTTCCTCCCACAGCTACAGGGCACAGAGGACAGTCGGCGTGTGTGTGGGCTTCCCCTCACGTGGGCAGTGTGGGGGCGACAGAGATGCCGAGTCTCCTCAGTCTAGGTCCCTGCAGAGGCCGCTGCACGGACCAGCTCTTTCCGCGGACGTCAACCTTGCCGTTCAGTTCACCTTCTGGGCTTCCTCCCCACCCAGGGCTATTTTTTCAAGGGCTACTTTTTTATTATGATAGTCAGAAGGTAGATTAAAAAAACAAAACAAAACTCCAGTGTCAGAAGGTAAAATTGCTTTAGACATTCATGTCCCCATTTATTTACCTAACAAATCCTGCAACGTTTAGTTTGCTACGTGTTGTGATGAAAATCACAGAGGAGAGAGACTTCCCGGCAGCACTTCCTCCGCCACGTGGAAGGGGGTGCTCACGCCGGCCAGGCGGCCTCCTTACCTGTCATGTTGCAGTAAACTTTCAGGGGCCCCAGCGGCCCGCTGCCGTCAGGGTCTATCCAGTAGTAATTGGACGTCTGGCCCAGGTGTTTGTACGCTTCGCAGGAAGGCTCGTAGATCGCTGGAAAGAAACGTCCCACGTGAGCACACACGGAATGAACGGCTCCCCAGACAGACGTCCCCGCCCCAGAGCAGACACGGGCTGACCAGCGCCGAGGACTGTGTCCTCTCGACAGCACGAGCCTTCTTATCCTCTACGTTTAAATTCGCGACTTGGTTTCTACTCTATAAGCATTTCTGTCCCAACAAACACAGATACGTTCCTGCTATGGTTTCCCAGTTGGGAAGTAGTTGAAAAAAAAAAAAAATCGATACATTGCTAAATGAATGTAATGTTTGTTGTACTGGGGCTCATGATCGTGGAAAAAAAGTCATCTGTAGTTATTTATGGCTACCTTCTTCGTCCTGTAAGGGCCGTTATTTTTCAAGGTAAGTGTCTGCTTGGCTTGACTATCAACTAAGAGATCACACACACACACACACACATGCACGCGCACACATACACACTTTGCATAGATGGTATAAATTTCACGTATTTCTATTCTTTCTCTATTTCAGGAAAAAAGGGGAGAAAGAAATGTCCCGACGTCCCTTTGTCACAGGTGTTTTAATGACATCAAATCCTGCTTGTGCAGAAAGCTGACGTCAGTGTAATTGGATTACAGGTTCTTTTTCGTGGTTTTCCTTTCTGTTCCCACGCTCCTGACCCATCTTTCGCTCTCGGATACGGCACCTGTTTTCAGAGGTACAGGATGGACATTTACATGTCGCCCCCGGAGTGTGAACTTCTGACGTGTTAATGAGAAGCATCTTTGACCCCTACGAGGAATTTGAAAGACGTCCCTACAGAAGTAAGAATTCTGGTGAAAATCTGTCTCTGACATGGGAGTCGTGAAGTCTTTCGCTAACGTGCCCCTGAATTTGTTCCCCCAGCACCTGCTACTTGTTCCGGTAGGAAGCAGGAGACCTGGCGTGGGGACCCCCTTCCCCACGCTCCTCCGCGCTCCGAGCCTCCCTTTGGCCCTCCGTGGTTTCCTCTCCGAAGGTGTCAGACCTCCACGTCTATTTCCTTTCAACAACAACACGCCAGACTCAGACAACAGTGAAAGTCTTGGATCCTGTAGCCCTCCTTTCTGTCTGCAGACAGCTGCTGCGTACCTAGGATGTGCTGGGCAGGGGACCACGCACCCCAAACGGCATGAGCAACACAGACAGAGGGCCGTTGGAGAGGGTTTGCTCTCTGATTATGTGGGCGCTGCTCGTGCAGAAGGGGCTCCTGGAAGAGGGGGTGTCTAGGAAGTTGAGCAGAACCCGTACGCCTTTGTCCCACGTAATGAGGACCACGTCCGCTCTCAATCCCCCGTGGTCTTATTTGGGTAGCACTCTGGCTGCTCTGGCTTGGACACCACACCGAGGCCGCAAGGAAGTGTCTTCCACCTTGAGGCAGGAAGAGGCCACCCGTAGATGGAGATTTTAGAGAGAAAAGTCCTAGCAGCAAAGCAATACTTGTAGGGGAGTGATTCAGAAGGTAGGGAGACCAGAAGGCTGTTGCTGCCACAGGCCAGTCGAACGGTGGCCAGCTCTCTGCGAGACCCTGAGGACACAGAGTGGATTCGACCGACTCGCGTGTTTTTAAGAGCAATGGGACAGAGACCTGGTGAGTGTGGATAGAAGAACAGGTGTTCAGAATGCCCTAAACCCACATCTCTGAGAATAAACTGATTATTGACTCGTCTTGGACAACCTCTCTCCGGATCACTGCAATTTCTGAGTATAGCTCAAAATCACCCACCGTGTCAGATTCCGATTCTAAAGCCCCTTTGGCCAAACTGCCACTAAAACCTTCCCCCTTTCTTCTTTAGTATTTAATAACCAGCCATTCTCCGTCTCCCTTGCCGACACCCCAGTCACGTCCCTTATCATCTGGTGTCTGGTTTACGGCAATCACTCCGCTGATCCATTGCGCCACCCAAATATCTCTTCACTTCCCACCCAATTCTGCCTTTTAAAAAATCCGATGTTATTCTAGCCCTAAAACATTACTCTCATGATGTTCCAAGGCTGTGCAATGGTCCTTCAGTATCTGTGGTATGATGTCCCAGACCACCCTCTATGCAATCAAGGTTTTCCACAAGCAACAGACTTCTCCTGGTTTTCTGTCTAGTTCAGGCTGCATAGTTCATGGCTCTTGCCAGCGAAGTCCTGTGCGCGGGTCGGGAGATCGCTTACCCATCCCGGGCTTGCCTTTCATTGCCCTTTTCTCCGTCTATAAACCTGCTGCACCAGAGCTCAGCTCACTACGGAGGCAGAGGTGGCAAGCGGCAGGGCTCTGCAGGCAACCAGACTTGGGTGGACATTCTGACTCCACACAGTGCTCTGTGTGTAACACTGACGTCACTGAGCCTCATGCGGAGAATGGGTATTGCAGGGATATTTATTTATTTTTAAATATGATTTTTCTTGATTATTTGAGAGAGAGAGGAGGGGAGAGAGATATAGAAACATTGATGTGTGAGAGAAACATGGATCGGCTGCCTCCTGCACGCCCCCTACTGGGGATGGAGCCCACAACCCGGGCATGTGCCCTGACTGGGAATTGAACCGGGACCTCTCGGTCCATGGGCCGATGCTCAATCCCCTGAGCCACACCAGCCGGGCTCAGGCTCGCAGGGATATTTAACAGTGTTTTGAGAACTGAAGGAAGTAACCAACATCAATTGCTTTACATTGTGCCTGGCCCTGGTAAATTTTTAATAGGTGGAATTTTTCTGATCTATATGATCATTATATTTTCGGTCCCACTCACATCCTCCTTTCTTAAGGAGACCCCCTTCTAGTCAAAACGTCTATCTTTCTGTATAGTTCGGGCCATTCTCAGCTCATCTCAGGCACTGTAATTCTTGATTTTCATCAGGTCAGGGCTTGCTGCACTGTTCACTGAATTTCATGTACAAAACTTTATTCCCTAAACAGGACTGTGAATTATCTCGAAGGGAGGGTCTAGAAAGTGTGTTTTTCTTTTCTACTCCATGTAATCCAGCACAGTAGAAGTTGAGGAGACGCCCTCGGAATGAAACTTAAAATGCACCTGCTCTTCCCCTTATTCTGACTTGGACAACGGCGGGGCTGGCCAGCCAGAGCACACACGTACGTGGGACAGTGTGACTAGACGGTGAGACACCGGCCACGCCTGCCCCTCTGAGTGAGCGTGTGAACGTTCCGAAGAGGGCGGCCACCTGCCGCAGGACCCTGGCATGTGGGTGCAGGGAACGTGGGAAGCCAAAGCTCTTCTCTGTTCCCTCCGACTGTGACAGTGATTCCGCTTGTCTTTAGCCCAGCACAGGCCTCCTGGCTGCGTTCGCCCCATCAACGCAAATGGAAAACCCAGTATTCCAGTCAGACTTGATCATGAGTGGAAATCCCCACAGCGCTGGCTAAAACGGGGGTTCCTGCCTCAGATGGGGGCTCTGGCTCTGGAGGACCTGCAGTTCTAACGAGCCCTGAGCGGTGCTGATGTGGCTGAGGGCGTTCGGAGTACATGTCTAAGCCTGAAAAGGAGTTAACTCTACAGGGTGGACGAATTCTTTCCTTATACCTAAATATTAGTAAGAAAAAAAAAATAGGTCACTGAAAGGCAAGGCAATGCAATTTTAAATAAAATAAAGCTAGAATGCCACCTTACGTCACTCAAAATAATAAACATGGAATGTGGTGCAAAACTCTAAATAAAAATACAATGTCAAAAGAAATATCCCCAGAGGAAGTCACAAAAAAATATTAGGAACAGTGATTCTGTTTGAGTAGCAAGATTATGGATGCTCTAAAACCTTCCGTCCGTCTCTGTTTTCCACGTGACTTTATCCTGCGTGTAGAACGTTATCGTTCAAATGTGCTCTTGCAAAATGTGAGTTTGGAAAATGGTACCGAGGTGAGGCCCGCTGGAATTCAGCAAGATTGCACTTGTTCTAGAAATGAGCGAGGAATTAAGAGATTTCCATTCAAATATTTTTCTCTATCGTTTACTGCTTGGAAACTCCCCTTAACTTGGTTTCTTCAACTGTCAGTTGAAGGCAAAAATAACGCCTTTGCCTCCAAGGTACTGGGAAGACTGAGCGCGCTCTGTGCCAACTGAAAAGCACAGGGCATACGGACGCCTGGACACCAAGCGTGCGCTGACCAGCCTTCACCTGCGGGCCTCATCCAGTCCTGGCCGGCCGGGCTGCGGAACTTTGCACATGGAGCGGAGGAGAGGACAGAGTGCAAGAGGCCACGGAAGAGAGCAGAGCCTCTAAACCATTGTCCGTACCTGAGTTCTGCTAGCAGACTGCCAAAGACCAGACAGGAAATTGGGCTGATGGCCAAATAGACTCATGAACTCCCACTCCCCTGACGTACAGGTATCCCTGCTTTTCAGAAGTTTGCAGGAGGCCACTTTGCTTGTGCAGCTGACCCTGCATCAGCGCCCGTTTTTGCTGACTGAAGGGCAGCCCGCAAACGGGAAAGAGCACGCAGCACTCGCGTTGCAGTGAGCCTTCCGAGAGGCACCCTGAGCAGCAGGAGGGGCCCCGCCGCGCATCTCCTCCGGAACTGCACTCAGCATCTCAGCACGAAGCTCCCGGGCTAGGAACTGGGCCGCTGAGCACCGGGCTTTCTCTCCACTTGCTTTGTGCATCCGTTAGCAAGATGCAGCCGAAGGTAATTGCTTCTTGGCTTCATGCCGCTCGGGCGGGCTCGCAGAGGGTTTGCAGGTCTGCTCTCCTTTCCGAGCGGGAGGGGGCCTGCCCCGGAGAAGGGCTGTGTCTCTGTCGTAGCGCTTCGTCCCCAGTAAAAGTCTCATGTTCTTCAGTAAACGTCAGATAGTCAGAAATATTACAGCGGAACACGGATTGGATTTCAGGGCGCGTAAAAATCCAGTAAGTGATACATCCTAAATCCCTTATCCATTTTCATTAAACAGTGAAGGCGCTCCGTGTGACCCTAGGGGGGACGGGGCAGGACGAAGGGCCGCTGGGACGGACAAGCAGCCGCTTGGTGGATTAAAACAACACGCATTTATCTTAA